CCTAGCTTCAGGAGCCAGCCCTCCCGGTCGGGGTTGAAGAAGGTGTGGGTGAGGTCGTTGCCGTCGTCCTCGGGGATTTTGAAGGGTTCGTTCTTGATGCTCTCATAGAGATTCTGGTGTAATGATACAGAGTCAGCTCTGCTCCACCCGGGAGCCCTGCGTCAGGCCAGCTCCACAGCCCAGCCCCGTCCCCTCCGTGCCCCATCCCTCACCCGGAGCAGCTCCTCAGGTAGGTCTCCCCCATCGTTTATGCCACGGTTCATGGCGATGAAGCGCTCTGCTGTGGGTTTGTCCTTGACATTGGGGTTGTGCAGGCTGGTGTTCAGCATGATGATAGCAAAGGAGAGCACGTAGCAAGTGTCTACAGGGGCAGAGGGGAGAGTCAGCTGCGAGGCAGGATGGACGGGGAGAGGGGTCGGGGCAAGCACTCACCTGTGGACTGGAAGACGCCGGGATTGCACTGGCAGTACCGCTGGGCAAAGGCCTCCATCATCCGGTCGATCTTCTGCGCCTCCCCGGGCAGCCGGAAGCTCCACAGGAACTGCCTGCGAAGAGCGAGGTGTTGCGCTGCTTTGGGGGCTCCATGTGCCCTCTGGCCACGCTCACATTGCTATAGCCCCCCGCCAGCCCGCTGCCCGTCTCCATGGTTGAGACACGGCGCAGTTCCCAGCCCCCTTCGCTCACCGCAGGGCCTGCACGAGGTTGAGGTCAGTGAACTCGTGCAGCTCCACGAAGGCATGCAGGACTTGGATGTTGAACTCATCCCTGCGGGAACAAAGCCAGAGCACGAGGGATGCATGATCAGCAAGTCCTGTGACTGCCGTGCAGCCCCACGTCTCCCTGCTGCGCTCCAGGCTCTGCTCAGCTGTGGGGGGAAACCTGCAGCTACCCCCCGACTCAAGTCCTGGGCTGGTTTGCACACACTGGCCTCTCACAAGTGCCGGCCATGGACCAAACAGCCCCCCAGCTGGCCCTAGCACTCAGGGTGCCCAGCCCCCCGTGTACCCCCACTCAGCTGCCCTGGAAGCTCAAAGAGCTGCAGTGTCCCGTCTCTCAGGCGGTGAGAGCCCAGGGCATCCTCAGGAGACCGAAGCCGCCCCAGGCCAGCATACCTCTCGCCCAGGTAGTCACCGATGGCTGTCTTGTTGAGGCCCTCTCCCTTGTACAGGAACTGAGCGATATCCTCACATGTGTTCTTCAGGAGGTCGTTTTCAATCAGGAACTGGATGCCCTGGAGCGGTGCAAGAGGCACTGCTCTAGGGCTTGCTGCTGACCCCGTCAGCCTGCCCGCTGCCTCTCCAGCCCCTGCCCTGGGTGCTGGCTCTGCCCCCGCCCGGGCACCGGTACGGAGGGGCGGAAAAAGCCAGCACGGCCCCAGACGGGCTGGTGAACTGCCCCGCTCCCCCCTCAGCCCACCCTGCAGTACCTTCTTGGGATCCATGTTGAACTTCTTCCTGCCCATGGCCACCTGCTTGTTCCTCTGCATGTTTTTCCTGCAAGGCACAATGCAGCTCTAAGCGCCCAGGAGGGACCCGGCTGCCTCCGGCCTGCCCCTTCGCCCCTCGGGCAGAGCTCTGTGGGGAGCGGTCAGCCTGGACCGAATGGGAGCCCAGTGACTTTGACCAGGCCAGGCTCCCTGCCTCGAACCTGCACGGGGCTAAGCTGGCACACCGCTCCACGTCCCTGCCCCGCTCTGCAGCAGAGCAGCGCGGGCCACCCCTTGGTCTGCCGGGCCTCAGAGCAAAAAGGAGCTGCCGTGCCCCGTCCACCGGGTCACCCCGTGCAGAAGGGGTGCCGCGTACAGCATCCTGGCAGGTCACCTCCGCACAGGGGGAGGCCAGGGCAAGCTGGGTGCAGCAGGGCTCTGGGCAGAGCAGCCTTCAGCCCCCAGTGGGGTCAGCGTGAGGGTGACAGCCTTCACGCCCCAGTGGGTGATTGGAAACGACGCTGGGAGTCAGCTCCCGTCGGCTGCCGGGACCCCCTAATCCCAGGCTGGCACCGCCTGCGCCAGCTCAGAATAACAAAGTCCGGCAGTCGCTGTGGCCAGACAGAGGGGCTGAGGCTTGGAAAAACAGCCCTTTGGAGCAGCAGGTCAGACTGGGATCCTGCTACCGCTCCAAGGATTTCAGACTGCCTGGGAAAGCCACCTGCACCAGCACCCACGGGATGGGGCTGCACTGCACGGTGGGAGGGAGCCGGCGTGCAGGGCCGGCCTCGCCACAGGGGAGGGGGCTCAGCGGAGGTCCTGGGCTGCCACTACAGCAGAGGACTCACCTCTCCTCCGTGGACCCCAGGTTCTCGATCTCATTCGTCACTTCTGCTATCTCATCTTTCAGCCGCTGAGGGGAGAGAGCGCACTGAGACAGGAGGTGCCTCCCTCCCTCCCAAACCCTCCAGCCCCCCAGCCCTGACGGTAGCCCCAGCTCCATTCCCCAGGCACCCTGGCAGCCCCTCCTTCCCTCTCTCCCTCCCTCCCTCACTCCTTCCCACTCGAGCGCTGCCCTGGGGCTGAACCAGCTTGGGGGACACTCGCAGAGGGGGCTGGCTGCACCCCACTGCTAATCCCCCTGCAGCATCGCCATGGTCCGAGCGTGCAGGAAGGAAGAGATTCAGAGGTTAACAAAATTACCCCCTAATCCCTTTAGATCGTGGCCAGCATATGGCAGTAATTAGCCTCTGTTGCCTTAATCAGGGACATGACTGACAAGTGTCCCAGATGAGCACTGACCTCGCGGTCGCTTGCCAGAGCAGTGGCCTGGCCGAGAGACATGGTCCCTGCCCGTGCCAGGGAGGGGCTGGCACGGAGATGCCGCTGCCCCGGGCTGCGGGGAACGGCACAAGCGCACATCCCGGAGCTCTGTGGGGGGCAAGGAAAAGCCACGGCTGCCCCGGCCCCGGGACCCCACAGAGGCAGCACTATCGGGCTGCGAGGAGCCAGGGGCTGGCAAGCAAAGGGGATGGGAGCACAAACCCGACCCATGGCCCTGCCTGCGCCTGCTCCTGCTCCTGCACAGGCTCTGAGGGTCCGGGACGCTGCACCCCAATCCCATGGCCGTTACAGACAGCCCTGGCCGGGGCAGCCTCTCCTCCCTGCCTCACCTGGGCCGCCCCCCCCTTTCCCAGCAGCAAGGCGAGGGAACC